CCTTAAGGTTCTTTAGTTATTGATTGGAAACCGTTTTTACCTACAAGGTCAATGTGACCTTGACCTTTGACCCCTTGACCCCAAAATCAATAGGGGTCATCTACTGATCATGACCAATCACCATACCAAGTTTGAAGTTCCTAGGCCTTAAGGTCTTTAGTTATTGATCGGAAACCGTTTTTGCTTTCAAGGTCAATGTGACCTTGACCTTTGACCCCTTGACCCCAAAATCAATACGGGTCATCTACTGATCATGACCAATCACCATACCAAGTTTGAAGTTCCTAGGCCTTAAGGTTCTTTAGTTATTGATCGGAAACCGTTTTTACTTTCAAGGTCAATGTGACCTTGACCTTTGACCCCTTGACCCCAAAATCAATAGGGGTCATCTACTGGTCATGACCAATCACCATACCAAGTTTGAAGTTCCTAGGCCTTAAGGTTCTTTAGTTATTGATCGGAAACCGTTTTTGCTTTCAAGGTCAATGTGACCTTGACCTTTGACCCCTTGACCCCAAAATCAATAGGGGTCATCTACTGGTCATGACCAATCACCATACCAAGTTTGAAGTTCCTAGGCCTAAGGGTTCTTTAGTTATCACTCGGAAACCATTTGGTCTACGGACCGACGGACCGACGGACCGACAAGTGCAAAGCAATATACCCCCTTTTCTTCGAAATGGGGGCATAAAAATAAAGGCTGTATGAGCAAAAATGTTTAAATTTGTTTTTGACACAAGTGACCTTGATCTTGACCCTAGGGACCCCTTTTCCGTAAAAAATTAAAGGACCATTTAAGATATGCACCTACCAAATATGAAAGATATCATTAAATAAATGAAGTAATTAGAAGAAGTTTAAGATAAATCCAACATGCCGGAATAGGTTAACCTAATACAAGGCCCTATTTTCAAAGTGATAAAAAAGGAAATAACTGGGAAAAATGGATGGCACAGTTATATAACTTGGCAATACCATGTACTTTGTATTGATAAGTAAGTGTGGTAATTATGAAACTATTAGTATAGATAGAACTTATGATATATGCAACTTGCTGTTTTAGGTTAACCAATTATTCATTTTCTAAGTGCTGAAAAGGGCAATAACTTGGTAAAAATGGAAACCATAGTTATGTAACTTCCCCAGATCATGTACATTGTGTTAATAAGTAAGTGTGTGATTTATGAAGTCATTGGAATAGGTAGTACTTAAGAAAAATCCAACTTGCTTTTTAGGTTAACCTTGTACGGACAGACAGACGGACGGACAGTTACGCCCGGAGCATAAAAACAGTGTTAAACTGCCAATAAAATTAATACTGGTTAACTAGGGACTACATGTATATGCAGCTGTTACATTTACTCCCTTAATAATAACAAATTTTTTAGGAAACAATAATAACCCATTTTTATTGATACCGTATTTTCCATTCTTACAATGTTTTCTTTTCATATAATGCTAAAATATTATCTACCATACACTACTGTCACAGGTTTGATCAACAAATCTGTGTCAATTTGTAGGCAGCGTAATGACATCATCCTAAGTAAACAACACATTAATAAAGGTGTTAGAATGACATCATTTTAAACTGACAAGAATGATTAATCATGCACTGTTGTAAACACAATACAATCTAGTCTGACATGTAAGTTTTAAAGGAGCTCCACTGAGGTCCAAAAGCCTTAAAACATAAAATTGTAAATTCTTACATACATGTAGGTAAGCTAAGGCACTTAAACAGAACGATTTTTAAAAGATAATTAAGAAATATTCTGAGAAATAAACTGCAAACCATATTCTTTAACTACATGCATCTTTTAAGACTGATTCGGGTGAAAAGCGTTGAAACGCTTTTCAATTTTGAGTATTTTATACAATAAGAATACTTATTCTGATAAAACTGAGTGAGCGAAATGCCGAATGATCTGAAATTTTGCACACAAGTTATTTGTCTAGACTTACAGCAAATGAAACATTAATCCCGAAAAATAATTGTGAGTCCCGTCATGTCAAAACACCTCCGTGGAGTTCCTTGAATTGTTGAAAACTTGATAAAATAACATTTTTTCTTATAATTTCTTTTGTTTAATAATTTCTATATGATATTAACAGAAGGGTGCGAAATCAAACAGCGTTTGCAAACATCGGCACCAGAGTTAATCTCTGCTTGAAAAAGTAGCATGTAAATAGTGATCTTCCCTATTTGTCTATTTAGAATCAAAATCATATCGGTCTGAGCAGTGTTTATCAGGTAATTAACACCAGTTTGGAGTTTTGATGTGTATGAAATAACCACAATGATTGTATTTCTTAAATATGCAAACAAACACACTGTAGGGAACGTGTTACAGTTTCACGCTTTCAGGTTACAGTATGGAGGATTATTTGAGGGGAAGAGAGGTAGGTGATTTTTAATCTAGTCCTTACTACAAGTAGTTTAGTTTCTATGGTGAAACAACCAGTATAAACAAAATACATTAAGAGACTGTCAAAAAAGCTGTAGATCAGGTACGTATATTAAACAATAATAACTTGTTACTACATGTATATAAAATTTCTTTCGTGTGCAGTCGCGATTTGGCTGGTAGTAAAAGTTGCGTTTTTACTCGTTACAATTCCGGAAATAATTTAGCTTTGTAAATGATAATTACACGGTTAAAAAGATCAAATTCTCAGCTTTCTTTTGATAGGTATTTTGCTAAATTCGGACCATAAATTACGAAAAAATCTTATATTTGTTCGAAGAGGGCATCATTATTTTTACTGAAGTTTTGACATAATCGGGAGACAAAAAAAACAAACTCTGTGTTTAACTCGTCGTAATTTTCTTCATACTAAACGCACTGATTTATAAAATATATATTTGAAAAAATCTATCTTTCAGCTTTCTAGAATATGTTACTTTTAAAAAATTGAACAGAAAATAACATGTTGACTGTAATTTAAATAACCAAGGTCAAATATCACACCGCTTAATGATATGTAATCGTCGATAAAAAATCAATAACGATCGGCAGTCTGGATGGATTATCTGCCACGACAGCATAATGATAATTTACCGTTATTGATTTACTGTATAGAGTTGCGGATACCGTTAATATACGTACCTGTGTAGATTAAAAATAAATAAAGATAAAAAAACAGATTAAAAATAAAAAAATTAATTTAGATAAAAATAAGCATGTAAACACAGGAAAAAATGCACCACATGTTATTAACATATGTTTGGGACACCAGATGTTTTCCATATGTAAAACATTCGTGTTTCATATGTTTTGTAAAACATGTGTTTAAGAACATGTTATTTATATGTACAATAACATAAAGACCATATGAAAAAGATGTGTCAACAAACTTATGTTAAACTCATGGTTATCACATGTTTTTCATATGAATTATAAGTTCTCATATGTTAAATATATGTGAACTTTGTCTCATATGTTAAATATATGTGGACTTTCATGTGTTTTCATATGATACTGATCGTATATTTTAGAAGCTTTGCTCTTTGTCACTTTGAACAGTTCTAATAAGATTCTTCATGATTGTACACTTGTACATGTAAATTCTTAAAATATTCTTGGTTCATGCACCTATGTGGAAAAAAGTTGCCTTCACTTCCAATATTTCTCATCATACAATAAAATACCTCTATACAAAAAAATTTAAAATGAAAATAAATAAATGACAAATTTCTTTTTAGGTGGATAACTGTCTGCATATTTTTAATTTAAACAGTCAGTAGGAAAATATAAATTAAATATTATTAATTTCTACAAACTGCAATAATAGTATAAATTTCAATTTTAAGTTTAACGCTATATTTGATATTAAAGGGGCTTAGGACAGGGCAGACCGTACAAGGGCGGACTGCATTTTTGAACGGGGCAGACAATGTATACAGTACATGTAAATTAATTCACTAAACAGACAGCATTTTAATCTAATAAGACAGAGCACAAAAAGCATCTCTAATAAAAACTAACTCGACAATTAAAGAATCAAAATTGAGGAGAATTCAATACAATTCAACAAGAAGCATGCAGATAAATTTCATGAAATTATGGCTAGAATATTCTAACAACACATAAAATATATTGATAGCTGTGCCCTGTGTAATTTAAATTATACATGTGTGTTAATAATCATCACTTATACTGGTTGGAGAGATAACTCCGACACTAAATCACATATTTTTTGTAATATCTTAATTATCTTCCTGTATATTTTAAATATTGAACCACCTAAATAAAGTTCAGTTCAAAGACTTTACATGACACTACAAAAATTATGTATGAAAATGAGAATTGGTACTTCTTTAAGGTCCTGAATGGGGTATACAAAACATGGTCTTTTTAACCCTCAACAGTAGATAAAGTCGACACTTAAATTTTTAAGTAAAAAATGACAGGAAAATCAGCATCATTAATTCATTTTTACATCTTATATGCTTTATCTATTTTTTGTTGATGTAAAAACAAGTTTTCAAAAATATTTCCCAAGTCAGTGGCCTGTGGTCAATACATTTCTTACTACCTCATTGTAATTTAGTAAAAAGAACGTTTTGAAGCAGTTTTTGCCAACGAAAAGTTTCGGTTAATTGAAAAATATTAAAAAGTTTACCAACTTACAAAAAATCATCATATTCTGTCCTGCTCCTATACTACTAGGTGACCATATGCTTTTTTGTTGAAAAATACAATTATAAAAATTATATTTATCAAGTGTCGGGGTTATCTTAGTTCTGGCTTCCAAAACTTTATAAGCCGCTCTTTAACATTTTTGTTTTTCATCTGATGCGGCATCACGTCATGTCATAGTATATAAACGGGTACGCTGATCGAAGACCTTAAGCTAGGGTTATCTATGCGTCGGAGTTATCTCTCCGACCAGTAATGATTATTTTTGATAATTTTGGTTTAAACATATTTATTTTAGCTCGATTGTTCAATTTACAATTATCAACATTAACTCCTATGAAAGAATAAATGGCTTACCGGAGTAGCTGTACACAGAAAAAACAAAATAATGTAAAAGAAATAGATTAACCGGTATGAACGTCGCCATCTTAAGCATCTTTATGAACTTGGAATTCCAATTCCAGGCTAAAATTAGACATTGGGTTTCCAGATTTTTATAATCCGAAGGGCGCCGAATCCGAACGTCCAAGATTTGTGGGTTTTTGTTTGGATACTGTACAGTACAGTTCCCGTACCAAAATCGTAGTTGCTTATTTTTTTTTTAATTCGAACACTGACAAAAAAAATGAATGTACTTCACTGTCGGTTCGTCACACAAATTATGGTAATTTCGTTATGTTCTAAACATAGAATAACCAATTCTCCCTTGAACCTACGCAGTGATCTCCCCTTAGCGTAACCGGTGCGCGGAGTTTGAGAATAACCCTTACTTATGAGGCCTCATATGGGGTACAGTACCGAAATTTTCCATTATTGCTCCGCGCAGCTATTTGTGTAATTGTGTTTACTATTTTTTTGTCCATGGACCCGATTTTTATCAATTAATCCCTTCGATTTACAGCTAAAAGAAATTCGGAAGCACGACATCCTTTCGATACTCTCAGCTTTCGATATATGATTGTTTTGACTTTAATTCGTTGCGGAGATATTGAACTAAATCCAGGTCCACCACAACAATCTACGCAGAAAAGCTCAAAAAAGAGGACACCAAAATTTCCGTGTGTGATTTGTTCTAAAGCAGTAACAGCTCGCAGCAAGGCAGTGGAATGTGTCTCCTCACAAATTCTCAATTGGACACGTTCCTTCCTGATAGGTCGGAGCCAAACTGTTGTACTGGAAGATGAACACTCTACAGAAGTCCCTGTAAACTCTGGTGTCCCCCAAGGCTCCGTCCTCGGCCCACTCTGCTTCCTGATCTACATTAATGAACTTCCATCTTCTGTCTCCAAGTCCCAAATTCGCCTCTTTGCTGATGACACTGTGGTTTACATTACTATAAACTCGTCTTCAGACTCACAATCCCTCCAGGAGGATCTTGATAAGATGCAAATATGGGAAAGGGAGTGGGACATGGAATTCAACCCCTCAAAATGTCAAGTCCTTCACATCACTAAAAACAAAAAAGTCATCAACAACAAGTACTTCCTTCATGGCCAAGCTTTAACATCAGTTCCTAGCTCAAAATACCTTGGCCTTGACTTGTCCACAGACCTGAACTACAACACACATATCTCAAGAATTACATCAAATGCAAACAAAACCCTAGGATTCATAAAACGAAATATCAATACAAAAAATGAAAAAGTAAAACAACTAGCTTATAAATCCCTAGTAAGACCCCAGTTAGAATACGCATCAACTGTTTGGAGCCCCTACACACAATCAAACATCCAAAAAATAGAGAAAGTCCAAAGACGAGCGATACGCTGGGTAAAACAGGATTACTCCCCTTTGTCATCAGTTACAGCCATGCAGAAAGATCTTGGCTGGCGTTCTCTCGAGCATCGCAGACTAGACTTTAGACTTATTATGTTTTTTAAAATTTACCATAACCTAGTAGCCATTAGCCTTCCCACCTACATTAAAACTCCATCTAGGCTTACTAGACATATGCATCCCCTCTCTCTTAGGAAAATACAGGTTACATCAGACTACCATAAGTTCTCCTTCTTCCCCCACTGTATCACACTTTGGAACCAGCTCCCAAGGAACATTGTCACCCTGCCTGATCTAGATCAATACAAACAGGCAGTGGTTAAGATACAGTATTAGTTGACTTGTTGTGTTTTTACTTTTAAATCTTTCTTTCACCCTTACTAACAAAAACATTTTAACAATGACTAGAAGTTTTCAATGTCTCTCACTGTCCTGATTATGTTCATTTTCAGGTTTTTACTTTCTCTCACACCTTTTACTAACACACCGACGCGCACAATTTCCTGCCTATAACACTCGCGAGAGGGGTTGGCAGTATTCAGAGATAGATAGATAGATAGATTTGTAAAGACTGGTCTCATATTAAATGCTGTGGTTATATTTCTAACGATCAGTATGACTCTATTGTTCAACAAGATTTAGAAATAAATTTCACTTGTAGTAAATGTACCTTTTTAGAATTACCTATTTTATGTGATACTTCTGTTGATGATTTTAGTGAATCAAATTATTTTACAAATACTCTACCGTCACATGCAAATACCGACCATTTTCAATGTTTTTTACGGAAGGGTTTGCATTTTATTCATATGAATTGTAGATCTCTTTTACCTAAGTTATCAGAAGTCAAATATATTATACAAAAATGCAATCCTGCTGTTTTTTCTATGACAGAAACTTGGTTAGATGACACAGTTAGTGATGGTGAAATAAATATTGAAAATTACATTGTTTTACGTAAAGATAGAAACAGAAATGGGGGCGGAGTCTGTGCATATATTCGAAATGATTTGGCCTTTTCTGTAAGGCAAGATCTAAATGAAACTTCTGATGAATTTTCTGTACGAAATCTGCTGTGGTCATAGTATTATTTTTACAATAGTTTCGTCTTACAATTGGTCTGGGATTTATGTGTTGATCATGGTCATGTAAATACATCATTAAATAAAGAGAGAGACGCTTGTTTTTGGTTGAGTCCATTATGTTTTATTTAGGGGTGAAATGTAAAACCTTTATTTACAATTTATATAACATTTAATGTTTTCGGTAATTTTAAGATTTGTGTTAATTCTGGAATTGTTTCAACATATTTTTTCGGGGATTAAATTGTGATTAAAACAATTAAAGTAGGAACTGCAATGGAAATAACTTAGTCCACACCTATGTTGATTTGATCACGTGACAATGTAAGCCAATGAAAAAACATCAACAAACAGGCAGCCATTAAGGAAGAA